CCCTAGCAGTAAAACAAGGAAGGGAACAAATCTTCCAGAGCACCAACCCTGGGGAGACAAGGAAATGAACTCCCTTGTTTTTATACAAGTTACACCTTTGGTATGATTTTTACAAGAAAGAGCACAAGAATCTTATCAAAACCTGAGGTTCAAACAAGTTTGGAACAAAGGCTGGCAACCCCAAGGAAGAGGACGGCTAGGCCTAGCTTATCTATGTTACTCATCTTTTATTGTATAGGCCTGGTTTTAAGGCACTGGGAGGCTTCCTTCAATCCCTGGCTGCTCCAGCTGGTCTAGTAGAGAAGTTTTCATTTCCTTTTTTTTTTCCCCTCACTTTCCTTTTGTCCCTGTTTCATTGTTTTGCTTTTCATTTTTTCCAAGGTGCAAGCCAGTGGGCTTCTCTTGGGTCAGGGAATGGAGGACACCACCCGGAGCAGGCAGCTCAGGGAGAAACAGGGGGTGAAGGGAAAGAGCCTTCCCTCTTTCAGCAGCAATGCATGATTAATCAAACCATGGCCTCCTTTAGAATAAATCCTGTCCTACTTCTCATGAAAAAGTTATTAACCCTCAATTGAATCAGGAGGCAGTTCTGACCATCCTTCTTGGTGAGGTTCTCCCCTGGAAACACAAGTCCTTGAAACACCAGAGGCCTTGGCAGGGTCCCTGAAGCCCTGTCTTCTCTTAAGGCAGGCAACATTTGATTATCTACAAATCCATAATTCACTGTAAAGCAAATCCTTCACCATTTGATAAGATAGTGTTTGTCATTCATATACACACTGAACCTTCATCTTACATAAACTGGTACCTCACGTGTGAAGGGTCTGAAGCACAACTCACATGGTGAGTGGCTGAGGAAACTGTGGTTTGTTTGGCCTTGAGAAAAGAAGGCTCATGGGGGACCTTCTTACTCTCTACAACTACCTGAAAGGAGGTTGCAGTGAGGTAAAGGTTAGTCTCTTGCCCCAGGTAACAAGTTATAGGACCTCAAGGTAAGTATGGCCTCAAGCTGCACCAGGAGAGGTTTAGGTTGGATATTAGGAAACATTTCTTCAAGCACTCAAAGAGGTTGCCGAGGGAAGTGGTGGAGTCACCATTCCTGAAGATATTTAGAATACATGTAGATGTGACACTTAGGGACATGATTTAGTGGTGGACTTGACAGTGCTAGGTTAACGGTTGCACTTGATGTTCTTAAACATCTTTTCCAACCTAAACAAGTCTATGATTCCATGATTCTAAAGCAGCAATCAGTGGGAGCAAGTGAAGCAAGACAGTAACAGATCATCAGGGTGATAATGAGACTGTGGGAAAGCTATTTGTAAACTCCTCTTTGAAAAATACCCTAACAGCTAAAGCTGTTGCATGGAGCAAGTGTTCTGATAACCAAGAATGCTTTTGCAAGTACTTTTATGGGATTGGTGTGATACCCACCTGCTGCTCTAGCACTGGCAAAAACACTCTTACCATTTCAAGCACCATCCACTTAGGCACTAGGTAATTTACCAAGCATGGTAAATTGCATGCACAGGGAGAGTGAGGGCTCCCTTAATCTTCCAGGACCAATGGGAGCTCTACTTCTAGCTAGAGAGGCGCACAACTAGATGTGTTTAAAACAAAACCTCTGCATAAGTATTTTTTAAGGTCAAAGACTAAGCAAGCATCAGCTCTGCAGTCAACATCCATAAAAATTGCAGCAGAAGAAAGAGGCACTGTATAGCTGGGAACAAAAGCATCATATCCTGATTGCCTTTTGCTGCCTGTGCAGGTTTGTTTGTTTAAGTACCTTTTAAAGATATTAATTGAGGAAAGAGCATTTTTAAAGCATCATTAAAATGTGCTCAAATATTAAAAGAACACCTTTAATAACAGCAGTTACATCTAGCCCTTGAAACAGTTTGCATTCCTTTATGGTCTTCTGTGGTTCAGAAGGCACCAGCTGATACCAGCACAGCAATACCATGTCCCTGCTGCACTGGATGTGGCCCCAGCTCCCACGGCCACACATCTGGGACAAACCGCCCCTCTCTGCAGGGAGGTCCCCACCAACCCAGGCACAGACTGGGGAGCACACATGACCAGCTCTGCAGGCAGAGCTGTGGTGACAGTCACCTCTAGCAGAGTGAAACAATGAGCTGAACAAACCACTGCACAGCTACAAAGAATGTGCAAACTTCAGCTCACCTGCAAAGGCAAGTCTTTGAGAGGCAGCTTGTTGCACAGAAAAGTAGGCAATTTACCAGCACAAGCTCTTTGTCTCACAGTTCCCACCTAGTTGTAAAAAGCAGCTCTGTTTGTAAAAGTAAGAACAACCTTGTGGCTAGCTCCAGACTTTGGGCTCACTGTGTTACCTGCTGCCTTTGGGGGGTGGGTGGGTGCATGTGTCTTTTTCTTCAGTGTGAGCACAGCCATAAGCCAAACAGAACTTGGTGCCTACAGCCAGACAGGCTGTGGTCAAACCCTCAGAGCACTGCTTCATCAGCCATGTTCTCATGCTGCTCCTGGCCATTTGCTCTCACCTCTGTGGCACAGACAGACACTGGCAAAATAAACTTATTTTTCAGCAGGTAACTCCCATAGCTCAGCTCATCTGTCTGCCATGGAAGGGGATGTACCCCAGAGGGTCAGGCAGGGAGAGGGCCTCCCCAGGTGTCTCAGTGCCACAGCTGAGGACAGGCACACTACACTACATCCACAGGGTCCCATATGCTTTGGGGATGTTCCTTCCTAACCAGACTCAAGCCAGTGACCTTAGCCAACCTTCAGCTGCCTGCTGCTGATCAGGGCAGGGACCTGGCACCAGCAACAGCCCTGGTCCTGCCCACACCTGGACCACATTCACAATATCCTCATTTTCAAGTGGAGAAAACTGAAGTTAAGGATTTCTGCACTGAAAGGCAATGTGAATTTCTCTGTAGCTCCTGCTCAACATCTAAGTTCCAATGCCCAGGTGTGTCTGGCTTAGGCAGTTTTTACAGAAAGGCTTTGTAAAGCAGCTGCTTCACTGCTCCTTCAACAGCTCAGGGCAGAGCAGGACAACCAGCGGTTCCCAGCACTGCTGAAATCCAGACCTAGGCTGGCAGCACATCCAAACAGCATGCATGAGCCCGCGCGGCAATGCCTGGAGCCCCCCTGCTCTGGTGAAAAGCACAGATGTTTCACTGAACCCGTCATGCTGTGCTCAGAGCCAGCACACTCTTTAATTCATTTGGTGTGTCCATTTAAATGGGATGCTGGCTCATGCCCATGCACACAGCAAGGAATTCCGTCATTCTCCACAAGCTCTTCATTTTGGTAGGGTACCAGTGCAAAGTTTTGGGTGCAGACACTACACTAGCAAAAATCATTTTGGAGACATCACCAAGAGCAATCCAGGGATCCCTCATCTCAAGCAGCACTACCCTGCTGGCCCCAAAGCTGAAGCCATAGGCCACCTGCAAAAAGCATCATCTTAAACAAAAGAACACAAGACAAAACCCAACCTTTCTTAATGCCATTTGTTTATCACTTCATTAGTATCATACAGTAACAGTTTTTAAGGCTAAGAAATAGGATCAGCCTGTCAAGATCAGGATCTGCAATTGCTCTGCTTCATGAATGAGATCCTGGTATCCTGCAGCCCAACGGGAATACAGTGAGCAAAGCATTTCTGTTAGTTTTATTTCTTACTTACAAATATATTAAGTTTTAAGTAGCTCTTTGGCAGTGAGCAGGACAATAAATCATGCTTTTATATACAAGGGACAGAATAAGGAAAACAAAGCCTTGTGGTTAGCAGTAGTAGTCATGTAGGATTTCAGTAGTCATCACAGGATTCCAGATAAAGTCTTGTAAGTACTTGTCCCCCATATCTCTTTTCTGGGAACACCTCATCTGATATATTATCACCCTACTTACAGGCCCATACCAGTGCATATGCTCACAGCCGTGTCACAGCACACGGCAATGCTCAGGTCTCTCCGACTCAGCCCATTTGATCTGGGAAGCTCACAGGCACCTGCCCCCACACCAGACGCCCCTTCATGCGCCCACTGGGTTATAAAGTGTGGTATAAGCTTATATATTACAAAGAACGCGTACGATAGAAAGCACGGGCAGTGAATACGAGGCAGTATCCCGAGGAGGGCTGGTGCAGCTAGTGTAGCTGGTGTCCGGGTCCCCGCAGCAGGGACGCGAAGCGCGTTACGCAAGAACATCGTTAGGATGATGCCGCCGACAGCCGCAGGACTGCAAGGAGACACGGCACGGCACGGCCCAGCAGCCGCCAGCCCGGTGAAGCCCCGGTAAACGCTTTCCCCATCCTGGCTCCACGCAGTTGCTGCGGCAGCGGGGCGGGGCTGAGCGGGGCGGCAGGGACCGGCCCCCGGTGCGGCCGCGGCCGGCGGGGCGCGGAGCGGCGCGGAGTGGGGCGGAGCAGCGCGGTAGGTATTTAGGAGCGGCGGGGGGGGTGTGAAACGGTGATGCGCGGAGTGGTGTCCCGCAGAGCGGGGCTTCGGTTTGTCCGCTACCGGCGGTCAGCCCATGCTCCACCCGCTCAAGGGCATCTAGGCGGAGGCTCCGTTCTTCCCAGGGCTTCCCCAAACCAAGGGGCCGGTGACCTTGGCCCAGCGGAACCGTGTAACCTGCGCTGTAATCGGCCGTTCAGGAGGAGCAGCTCGGTAAGGAGTAGTGGAGGAAAGGCCTTAGAGGAGGGGCGGCAGCAATGAAGCCTCCAGGATTCACTGTGTGTGCTTTCCTCAAGGTAGCTGGTGATGTTAAAGAAGGACCTACAGCCTTCAGCAAGGTCTCTCTGGACTTGTTGCTGTAGAGCTGCAGTCCCAGTGGTGTTGGCAATACAGCAGTCAGGAAGGTGATTTGCCTTAGCAGGAGCTCACTGAAAACAAGTTGAACACCCAGAAGTAAAGAGACTGAAACAAGTGAGTAGTGGTGGTGGAGGAGGGAAGGGGAAGGTGCTACTCATACTAGTGTGATGGCAATACTCATGTTTGCAGTGGTTTTCTTAGAGTCGATGGTTGCTTCCAGGAATCCTTAAGTGTGAAGTAAGTGCAAGAGTACCTCCCTGTTGTATAAGTACAGTTGGGATAGTGTAGAGGAGAATACCTGCAATAAATGCTACTACTCCACTTAATCAGCATGCATGGTATTTTTTGGACTGTGCATTTTAAAATGCTTTAGGAGTTGGGATGCTCATTTATCTTTTGCTCATGAACATCATGAGTATGGCACAAATAACTATGTCTTAACAGAAATCCTGTGAGTCCTTGAAGTGACTTCTATATGATGCAGTTTCAACAAAGAAATACATGGAATCTCTGCATAGAGCACGTATGTTTTTCCAGCAGTAATGGGCAATATGGTGAGTGAAAGGGCGCCTGGGGAGCTGCTCAGGGCTATGGGAATACTTATTCCACCCCTGCGTCCAAAAAGCATTCAGGATGTGAAGTGTACAGGACCAAGGCTCAGGTGCTAGTGGTGTCTGGTAGGGGAAAGCATCCATTGTTCTGCACTAGGCTCTGCCAATCTAGTTTTTAGTGAGCTTTTTAGTTGTCTACCTGAAGCCTGGCCATGCTCCTGGTATTGAACCAAATAAGAATTCCCCAGCCCAGTGCCCCTGGATGAGAGGAGACCATGTGGTTGGTCTGACAGATGACCCTTGTGGAGGGGAACCTGCCCTGCCCTGTGTAGCTGGTGCTTGCTACCATAGCTCCTGTAGGCTTCTGTGTGCAAAGCACCTGAAATAATTGTCAGCAGGTTGCCCTGGAGACCTCCTCCTTTCTCCTCACCCATGCCATCTGCTTTAGTTAAACACATCACCCAGCCCCTACTGCTTCTCAGGAGAAATTGGCAGTGTTGCAACCTTGAAGAGCCTTGTCTTGTCCCACTACCTGACAGGTATATTTCTCGTGTTCTCTCCCCCAGAAACTAAGGGGTGGCTTTGCTCCTCCCATGTCTGAGGAGTATTCTGCTATATCAATAATTGTATTCAAAACTGATTGCTCATAGGGATGAAGGGGTCTGTGAAGGAAGTTCTTGTGGAAAATGTGAGTCTCCCTTTTTACTATTTATCTGTTGCAAATATCTGGCTTCATTTTTCTTTTCCCCTTTTTAGATCAGTAATAGTCATGGTGCAACACTGCTTCCTTTTATTAGATCTCAAGGTAGAGGCACTTGCACAAGAGTTTGGTACCTGTTTTCCACTAATGCGTGTCATAACTATGACAGTATTCACCTTCTCATGTTACACATAACCCAAGACTGGCTATTATTTTCAGCTGCTTCAGAAATGACTCAGAGCAAACCAAAGAAGCCTGAATAAAAAAAGAGCTACATTTGAAAGTAAGTCCTTCTGTAGAGCCCAAACATCTTAGCTATTTTGTTTACAGAGTGATGTGTTTACACAACCTTCTGAACTTTAAAATCTCTTAAATCCTTTTGAAACATCTAGCCTATGTCCTAAACCTGAAAAGCTTCACAGGAACTGAGGCTTGTCACTAAAAGCAAAGCCAAAACACCTCTAGGATATCTCTTGGAAGGGTTTGAGAACTCTCAATTTTTCAGTACTTTCAATTTAAGCCTGATGCTGGTCTCTGCTCACAAATCTCAGGTCTCATTTGGGAACTTACTTTGTACAAAACCACGTTAATAAATTAGGCTTACAATGAAAGCATAGGGAAAGCTTGCCCTGAGATGGCAACTTGACAATTTACTGGCCCTCTCTGAAAGAGCTTATTCCCAGAGTCCAGTTCTGCTCTAACATAGACCTCGTGTCACAGGAGGAGGACGCAGATCCCAGAACATGCAGAGCCCAGAGAAAGCTGGAAAGGAAGGGGTTTGTGCATCAACTGTAAGAAGTAGCTAGTTATGTAAGAAAATGACTGAGGAAACTTCAGAGGAGGGAAGAACAGAAAATTCTTTGAAAAATTAATTTGGCCTTGGAAGAAAATGGGACAGAGCTTTTCCAAGAATGTTTTTGTTATAGAGAAGCTGCATCTTCCTCTGTGCGCAAGTAAAGAAGAGTGCACCAACAAATCATCCAGGCTTCAAAGTTAGGGGGAGTTGGGGTTTGGGTTTTTGTTTGTGTTTTGTCGTTTTGTTTGAGGTGGGTTTTATTGTTTTTTTTCCTAAGTTGTCTTTTGATTACCATTTTCAGGGAGTAATTAAGGCATTAAATTGGTCTAAATATTAACTGCTTTCAACTGTTGTGCTGTTGCTTGAATGGTTTTGAGCTTCTCTCCAAATGAGATCCCTACAGGTGCTGCAGATAATCCTCTCTTGAGGATCAACAGCTCATATATCATTTAATATTACTCCCCACGTTGTAGGCCATCATACACTCAATCTGTGTACTTAACTCTACTAAAGGAGCAAACAGTATTTCAGAAATCACCTGGGGTATGGTGAAATCCAGGTGGAGAGATAGCCTAAAAAGAATTCACTTGCTCCAGTTACAGATGCAGCTAAATTATAGCACCAAACCAATGCCTGAGACCGGAGCGTTGTTAACAAGCTGTTGAGGGAGCACACATGTAACACACACAGGAGGATTACATCTGTGTCCTGAGTCGGAGACAAGGAAGTCTGGGTCAGATCTTGTGCAGGTGTGGCATTGCCTCTCCTGTAGTGCCACTTTATAAGTGTTTTGCTGCCTGACGCTACCAAAGGTAAAAGGAAGTATTCCTGTCAGCAGTGAAAGGTGTTTGCTATACTTCAGGGTTTTGTATGCATTATGTAACTTTTTCCATCTAAATGAAACAAAATATCACCTGTGTGCTACCACTAAGGTCAGCAGGAAGGCGAGTTAGTGTTTACAGAGGAGGAAGATGCTAGAGCTCATTCTCTGAGCAAGGTAAAGCAAAAACCTGGCTGAATGCACCATTGCTTTTTCTGCCTTCCAGTTTTGGCTCCTGGGAAATCTGAAAAAAAAAAAAAAACCCCAAAAACACCCACAGCCCATAGGTGCAGCTGAGCCACGTTCACCCACATCCAGTGTCCAAGCCATGTACAACAATCAACTTTTACGAGGTCTGAACTTCATTCTGGTGTTGCATGAATGGCAGCAAAAACACATATGTGAGAAGAGTTTACAGTTCTGTAGCACAACAGCTGGCAGTAATGTACGGCCAAGCATGTGATGAGGTGCTGATTCAGGAAGATGAATGCTGAGGAAGAGAAACCAGAGATGGCATCAGTGCTGCTGTGTTTTCACTCCAGAGTTAGAGGTGGGAAGTTATTTATTAAATGCCTTTACATATAGATTTTAATGGTGCAAACTTGTCCATAGTGGGAGCCGTGCTGGGATTATAGCTGCTGCTCTTATTCGTAATACCTGACATTACCTCCCTGTGAAAACAAGCTCTTGGGCACTTTTAAACATCAATGTTTAAGTACTACAGTAACCTGAGGGTTCTGCTTGTCAGTGGGTAACAGGCAGTTTTCTAAACTGAGATGATGCTATACAGCCATGGGCCATGCTGTGTATGGGCAATCTGAGCAGCACAGATGCAACAGAGGAACAGACTGAGACTGTGTCCCTAGGAAATGCTGGTGTTTGGATACTCAGCACAATTTTAACACCTGTCTTATCTAAAGTTCTTCCCAATTACTGGTCCACAAGACATGTATTTCATTCCTTATGCACCATGCTTGGTGCTCACTGAATAAAACAAATAGAAGTAAATCCATTATGGACTGGAAATGTGAATCCCTTTGTTCTATTTGCACTTACAGAAATGTCTGTCTACATAAAATCAATGGGTTCATCCCAATGTTATGTTAGCATTAAGAGGGCAAGACTGGTGCTTTGGGTGTAATAACAACATTACAAATACGTAAGAACAATTACAGATAAATAACTTGTAGAAATTATATATATATTTTAATAACCAAAGAGGATGACTGCCCATTCCTAATAGCTGAAATTATTTACATATCAGACCGCTTTAAAGTAGTGATTGTTTTGCCCTGTCACACCTTGCCATTTGGAGACTGCATGTTGTAGGTATCCTGCATGTGAGACCAAATGCAAGCCTCAGGTGCTTGTGGCAGGATTTTACTTAAGCCCCAGGATGAGTGTAACCCCTTAGGATTCTGCAAAACCCACCAACTAGGGGTGGACAATTAAATATTTCTGGGATGGACTGTTTGCTTCTTTTCCCTTCCTACCTTGTTTATAACTTTTGGCTCTACTTTACATTCAAAGTCTTGGAGACCACCTGTTTAATGATCATGGAGTTATCTCCAGCTCCAGAGTTTGTTTTTCCTCACTCTAAAGTTATCTTGACCTGAATACATCTTGGAAACCCTTTTTCTCTGTATATGTAAGTCAACCAAATGCTCCTGCTGAGGGTGCAAGGTATTTTTCAAGCATTCTTTGGAAACCAGTCTATTCCAGTTGCCCTGCAAGACTGTCTCTTTTTCCACAGGAATTTACCAGCAGGTGCCTTTTGCCAGGCACTGGCCAGCCACCAGTAAGAACTGCAGACTGCTAGTGTGAGCAAAGTCCCCCAAACCACTGTTTTTCAAATCAGAAATTATATAGTATAGTACCTAACACTTTGGGTCACAACTCTAAACACTAGTCTAACACTTGTAATTAATATTACTAAAAAGAAATCTTTAAGATTAGGCATGCTCTTAAATGAAACCTGGAATTTCTTGTGATGCTGATTTATCTTTTCAGCTGCCTTAATCAGAGACATGTGTCAACAAGCAAGAAAATCAGGTTGCCACTTAAAACAATAAAAGCTGTTTTACAGGTTTATCTTCTTGCTTTTTTTGCTTGGAGGTGAAATTGCTGAAAATGATCTGAATGTTGCTTAATAGCTTTAGAAGCTAAATTCTATTCATTTTATTCATAGCTGGTTGTAACAGTCCCATGGCCTCTAAACAGAAAGGCATTTACACAACACAACCAAATGTTTAAATTCTAATTTGTAGATAAATGAGTGCTCAGTTAAAATTGCATAACAGCAAATTTTCTCCTGTTCTGGAATATTGGGAACTGATGAGCTAATAAGGCAGAACCCTTTCAACTCAGAGTGCCAGCTGACTGCAGTGTTAATGTAATAAACCCCAGTAGTGCTTAAAAATTAAAGTGGAAGCCTCTCTAGGACAAGTCGTGTTTAAAATACAGTTGTTTGTTGTTTTTTTTTTTTTAGTCTTGAAAGTTTCTGTTTGCCTAGTGATCTGCCATTCCCTTTGATTATTGCTACAAGGTGATTGGCCTGGCTAGCAAGGCTGCCTGAGACCTTCTGAGATAGGGAGCTCTGGGCTATTGCTTATGTTTAAAACTGGCCCTGACTTAATGCAAGTGTGGAGTACCTTCAGAAAAGGTGTCTGCCACAGTAACAGTGGATTTGTATATCTCTTTCCCTGAGCAGCTGGCTTAAGATGGCTTTCTTTCCTTTCTCTTCTACGTTTTCCTTTTATAAATTATGCATCTAGAATTGCATTATCCTGAGACATCCCTCATGTTTGCTGCATTTCTAAGACAGTCCTGCTAACGGAGAAAGTCTCTGGGTAGATTAAATGCAGTGGAAGTTGTTAGTGGTGAGGACAAAGACAGTAATTTGACTGTTTGTCTTTTACTTATCTCAACCTCTATCATTCATTTGCAGACCGTGCAGCTTCTGCATTAAGATGGCTTGTGCTCCTGCTGGTAGTCCAGGGAGTCACATTGCATGTGTGTCTGAGTACCTGGAAATGGGGTTATAGTGTGTGTTGTGAACTGGAAGAACCAAAGAGGCACGGTTGGTCACTGAGCTGACTGAAAATGCAATCCCCAGGCTGGAGAAAGTATAACAAGGTCTTTTGTATAAATCAAAAGGTCTGCTCCTTATTTTAATTACTTCTGTCCTGGTTTCGACAACTTCATACTTCGCTCATGTATCCATCCAAGACAGCAATATCTAGTAAGTGGTGAGTCTGCAGCCTGGTAGACTGGTCTAATATCAGAAAATTCAGCCTGGGGATTTTTTTTCCTGTGTTTTGCTGTTCTTTATACCAGCTCTGTACTGAGACATACAAGTATATGTGCTGCTGAGGGCAGGAAGATTGATTAGCCTGGGATCTTTTCCCCCAAAACCCCTGCAGCACCTCTCTGATAACCTTCCCATTGCCTTAAACAGCCACAGCAAGCACTCCAGTCTCACAGTTTCTCCGTAGAATCATAGAATAGTTAGGATTGGAAAGACCTTAAGATCATCAAGTTCCAACCCCATGCGGCTTAACACGTATTTACTCAAGAAAGGTGTGAGTTTAACTAGCACAGGTATAAACCCAGTATAAATACCATAATCCTAGATAGTATGAGAGGACCCTTATTGTTTTCTTTTCAATTATATAGGAAAGGGCTTAACCTCTTTATTGAAAAATATTGCTCTTTTTGCAGAATGTATAAATGGAGACACTTGGCTCCCAGTGCATTACAGTTTGCCAGCTGTGCCATTTTTATTAAAGGCTTTGCAATATTTACAAGGTTTTAAGGCCTCTCGAGTTCTTCCTAAAAATAAATTATCTGAAAGGTGTCCTCTTCCATTCATAATAGGATAGAAAACAGTGGTGATCCTTCTCCCCAGCCTTCGGAGTAAAGCTGTTTACAGCAAAGAAAGTCACTGAGATGTAAAATAGAAGGGGTTTGTGCATAAATTGTAAGAAGTAGCTAGTTATGTAAGAAAATGACTGAGGAAACTTCAGAAGAAGAACAGAAAATTCTTTGAAAAATTAATCTTCCCCCCAAATGTACTCTTGGCAGCCTCCCTGTCCAGGACATGTAGTCTAGGAGATATGGGGAAGATTGAACTGAAGGAAATGCACTGCTTTGGCAGAAGGAGGGGAAAAAAGATACACTGGAGAAGGTACTGATGGTTAGATGACACAGAAGAAGAGGGGTTGCTGGAAAGTAAAGGCTGGGTGGGTGATCAGGCAAGTACAGAAATTTTTCTACGTAAAAATCCACTAACAAAACCAACCCTCTCTCCTTTTCATAGACTAGTTGGGTTGGAAGTGACTTTCAAGCGTTATCTAGTTCAACCTCTCTGCAAAGAGCAGGGACCTGAGGACTGGAGGAAAGCAAATGTCACTCCCGTCTTCAAAAAGGGCAAGAAGGAGGACCCAGGTAACTATAGACCGGTCAGCCTCACCTCCATTCCTGGGAAAGTGATGGAACACCTTATCCTTGGTGCCATCTTAAGGCATATCAAGGATAAGAGGGTTATGAGGGGCAGTCAACATGGCTTCACCAAGGGGAAGTCATGCTTGACCAATCTCGTAGCCTTTTATGAGGAAATAACATGGTGGATGGATGATGGCAGAGCGGTGGATGTGGTCTACCTTGACTTCAGCAAAGTGTTTGACACAGTCTCCCACAGCATCCTCACAGCTAAATTGAGGAAGTGTGGTCTGGATGATCGGGTAGTGAGGTGGACTGTGAACTGGCTGAAGGAGAGAAGCCAGAGAGTTGTAGTCTATGGGGCGGAGTCTAGTTGGAGGCCTGTATCTAGTGGAGTGCCTCAAGGGTCGGTACTGGGACCAGTATTATTTAATATATTCATCAATGATTTAGATGAGGGAATTGAGTGTACTATCAGCAAGTTTGCTGATGACATTAAGCTGGGAGGAGTGGCTGACACGCCAGAAGGCTGTGCTGCCATCCAGAGAGACCTGGACAGGCTGGAGAGTTGGGCGGGGAATAACTTGATGAAATATAACAAGGGAAAGTGTAGAGTCCTGCATCTGGGCAGGAACAACCCCAGGTTCCAGTATAGGTTGGGGAACGACCTGTTAGAGAGCAGTGTAGGGGAGAGGGACCTGGGGGTCCTAGTGGATGACAGGGTGACCATGAGCCAACACTGTGCCCTTGTGGCCAAGAAGGCCAGTGGCATCCTGGGGTGTATCAGAGGGGGGCTGGTTAGTAGGTTGAGAGAGGTCCTCCCTCCCCTCTACTCTGCCCTGGTGAGACCTCATCTGGAATATTGTGTCCAGTTCTGGGCCCCTCAGTTTAAGAAGGACAGGGACCTGCTGGAGAGAGTCCAGCGCAGGGCAACTAAGATGATTAAGGGAGTGGAGCATCTCCCTTATGAGGAAAGACTGAGGGAGCTGGGTCTCTATAGTTTGGAGGAGATTGAGGGGTGACCTTATTAGTGTATATAAATATATAAAGGGGGAGTGTCACGAGGATGGAGCCAGGCTCTTCTCAGTGGCAAACAATGATAGGACAAGGGGCAATGGGTACAAACTGGAACACAAGAGGTTCCACTTAAACTTGAGAAGAAACTTCTCAGTGAGGGTGACAGAACACTGGAACAGGCTGCCCAGGGAGGTTGTAGAGTCTCCTTCTCTGGAGACATTCAAAACCCGCCTGGACACGTTCCTGTTTAGCCTTATCTAGGTGTTCCTTCTCCGGCAGGGGGATTGGACTAGATGATCTTTTGAGGTCCCTTCCAATCTCTAACATACTGTGATACTGTGACATCATCAACTAGATCAGATTGCCCAGAACCGTATGCAGTCTGGTCTTGCATGTCTCCAGGAATGGGACATCTATCACCTTTCTGAGCAACCTTTTCCAGTATTTTACCTCTCCTGCAAAAAAATTTTTCCTGATGCCCAGCCTGACTCTACCCTCTTTTAAAGTCATTACCCCTTGTCCTATTGCAACAGGCCCTGTTAAAAAGTCTTCCCCTGGTTTCTTAATGCACTGCAGTTTCACTGCAGTTGTTGCCAGAAAAGAAGTTATGTTCATGGAGATGTTCAGAGTTGAAGAGGAAGAGATGTGAGGAGGTCTGGACAGGATGGAAGGAGAAACACTGGGAAAGGAGTCAGCACATGAATGAAAGAGAAGGAACAAAAACAGTTGGTTCCCTTATCAACAGCATTGGATGAGCACTTGGAGCATCACTTCAGTTAGACACTCTGATGAGCTTGCAATTGTTGCCTTCCCAAAGAAGAAAGGGCAAAAAACAAAATCTGCCTTGCAGCATCCCCAGATGGCAAGGTGTAAGCTAGGCTGGCAGGATGCTCCATTTGCCATGCTATGTGGGAGCGTTTAACTGCAAGTACCAATGACCTAAAGGAAGAAACATGGAGAAACAACCCATCAAGGTGAGTGCACTTAACAGTGCATCCACCAGACAAAAACTTTACACATCAGTAACCAAAGTAAAGCTATGACAAGACAAAACAGGGATGCTTTTTACTGGTTGTCTCCCCTTCAGTAAATACCCACATACCACCAAAATATACTGTACAGCCTCCAGAGGAGGTCAACTACTGAATATCCTAATATACTTGGCCTATATCAGTGTACCATCATTACTTTAAACACTGGCTGCAAGTTTTCTAATACTAGCATTTTGTTGCTTTGAGGGACAGAAAATTTCTGTTGCCCAAACCTCATGATGAATACAAGACTGGAGGGACATGACATGTTCAAGCATCTCTGCTCCTGGCATTCTAGGTAACAGAAGTTTAGAACAAAATGATACATCAGAAGGTTTACTAGTAGGACTAAACGCTGTATTCCCTTTTCCTGTGAGCTGACCTGGCCAGAATGCATGTCCTTAGACTCAACCCCCCCCAAAAAAAGGAGTCCCCTTATCAAGCTTCATACACTTGCTTATCATTCTCTCTGAATTTTCTCTAAGTAGATGTTTTTAGCCTGAATTTAAAGATTATTTAAAATACTGAAAAGCAATTTTAATAAAAAGCAGTGGAAGTCAAAACCCATTTCCTAGTTAATACTTGCTCAGCCATCCTCCTTTCTGTATGGAGACAGGAATAATTAATGCATAAAGGTACTACCTGAAAGAAAAATATTTCCTAGACTTGCAAATTCTATTAAATACTCATTTAATATGTAATGTATCATATTTCTTTGTAAGGAGCTAAAAAGTAAACCAACTTATGTTATTTGAGATTACTTTTTTCTCCTCCCTTTCATAGTTTGTCTTATTCTTAAACATTGTAGAATAATAAAAACTATCAGAAGCAAAGTTTTTACAGCGCAGTTCTTTTAATCTCGTCTTTATTCCAGAGCATATGAGTCTGCCATTCACATTTAATGATGCTGGGCCAAAGCCATTTCTTTTAAAAGCGTATCTCCCTGAATTCCAAGTGAAATCTTGTACCTTTATCAGCTAATGTGGTTTTAATTCCTATTGCAGAATGAATAGCACAACACGCTCACAATTAGAATGCAGGAATTGAGAGTGCCCAACTAATACAGGTTCAGTAACTCCAAGCAGCAGTTGTTAGGCCTAAAGACTTTTTTCTTCTGGTCCAGGGAAGTAAAGGTTGGTGATTGCAGAGATACATTATTTCTGTTTGAACTTTATGTAATAATTACATGTGTTATAAACCTGAAGTGATGGTCACTGCATCACCATTGCAGGTCTTCCTTTCCACTGCAGCTGTAATCCAGACTTCTTTATTATTACAGGTCATCTTCTCAAAATCACTGGAAGCTGAAGATGGATATTAAGCATGTGAAGGACTACATCTACTGGCTGTACTACCAGTACCTGTTGATAACCTGCAGCTATGTGCTGGAGCCCTGGGAGCGGTCCATGTTTCACACAATCACCGTGACTGTTTTTGCTATGGTGGTGTACACAGCTTATGTCTTCGTGCCTATCCACGTCCGCTTGGCTTTTGAGTTCTTCTCCCAGCTATTTGGAGGCCAACCTGAAAGCACAGTTTCCATCATGAACTGAACTTGCCTGAGTAGTGATTAGCAGCTCTTGCAACTTGTGAAATGCAGTGTTTTCTTCAATTTTGTGTATTCTGAAGCAGTCTTGCAGTGATGAAAATATTTTCTCTTATAAAACATGGCTTGCTTGCTTCATATAGCTGAAAATCAGAATACTGCACTACTGGCTGCACAGTCCATATTAAAAGAAACACAGGCCAGCTTTTCCTATGTGATAATTAAACACATTACCTGGAATGCCATGTTTACTTAATATTCAACCAGCTCCCACTTTCAGCACCCTGATTTGAACACACTGGCATGTATGAAACAGCAAAGCCACACAGAAGTTCTGCCAACAGTACAGCGGCAAAACATCTCACATCTTCGTTGACCCAGGTTAGAGAATACAAGGAGATCAGTATAATATAGCATGATTTCAGCGCTAATATCTGGCTGGTTATTGACTTCTGTTTCTAACGGATGGGATCAGAAGAGAGAAAGTAATAGGCATATGAACTTGAATCCAATTTCTTGCATCTGAGTTGCTGCATTGGATGGGGTTTGGGCAACCTGGTCTAGTGAGTGGAAGGTGTCCCTGCCCATGGCAGGGGGGTTGGAACTATGTGATATTTAAGGTCTCTTCCAACCCAAACCATTCTAGGATTCTATAAGATAGTAAAATAAACATACTATAGATAATCTTGCAGTTTACTGATATTGACAGAAAGAAAAAGAACTGGCTCTGATTCAGTAAAGTCCTGCCTTCTTTGATAAAGAACTGAGACATCTTTTCTTTCTACTCCCATTCACCAAGGCAAGCAAAGTTCATGTTTATGCCAGAGGAAGACAATCCAGAAAACAGAGTAGAAGTAATATTTTAATAACTGTAGGGAAGTCTGAGTGCTTAAAGAGTTCTCCTTTATAAAGAAGAAAACAGATTTCATATAATTGCCTGTGCAGTTTCTTGAACAATGGAAAGTTTATTTGGTTTTCACTCTACACTTAACATCAAATGTGAATGCCAAATCAGAAGTTATAGCTATACAGTGCATGTATCTAACAGCTAATGCTACTGTTATTAGAAGTGAGAGGTGAAAAACGTAAATAGCCTTCAAATGATGTTTGCATAGTTACAGGATTAAAACAACCCTCTTAACTTCTTTATCAAGCTGCAGTGGGGTCCTGCATGCTTCAAAGAACACAGTTTGTTGGGAAACAAAGACATGTTTTGAAGGTTGAACAGATCTGAACGTGTGTATGCAGTTTTTTCAGAAAATTAAATTTTATTCTTCAGAAACAACATTTCCATGTAAGTCTCAGTTCCTCCTGTATTTTCTATTTGTTCATAAATACTCTTTGGTACTTCTGTGGATGTGTGTGGGCCAGGCTGACACCATGGCAGACAGACTATTTTGTTGCCAATGTTTTAGGGCAAGGTTTCTGAGCCCCTTAAATGATCCATGTGTGGACTGCCATGTTCATTCTCATTAGTGCTCCAGCCCAAGACTTGTCCTCTCTCTGGTGGTGAGGGAGAAAAAAAAAAAAAGGTCCTGAGGGCAATTCTTGGAGATGCACAGGTCTCCTGCTTGCAAGAGACCACATTCATCATAAATACTTGCTACCTGTGTTCAGGTTCCAGCTCACACCTGAGCCATCTCTTCATATCGCTAATACAAGCAGATCACGAACGTGCCTGAATTCTCTTGCAGACAGCAACTGATGTGCTTCAGATTAAAGCACCAAATACCTGCATGTGTTGGTGGCAAAAGAATTGAGTGATTTAGGCACAAATGGAAGCCAAAGACTTAGCTGTCCTATCAGTTTAATCACAGTTGTTAACCTGCAAATATGAGGTACAAAGCTGTAATCACACAGTAATAAAAGAGCATTGAAGCAGATGAAAAATGTCAACTACCTGTGAAAATTTCTATGAAAGCGGTCTATAAAATAGACTAAAAGTAACAATCCAGATGTTGGAGGTGAAAACATGAAAATATTTACCTAGCAAGTTGGCGCTTGAACCAAAAATACTCCCCAATATCCTATCCTCAAAAGAGTCTACTTATAAGTAGATAACATGATAATGTAAATGCCATGGCATCTTCTAATCAATCCTGTCTCCAATAACATATTAATTTTTAATTTATCAAAAAGGTTATTTGTTCACAATAGCATCAAACATAACCGACCTGTTTTTAGGAGTACAAGGAAAAACACTTTCTTACAGGTACGCAAAGGCTGGGTCTTGTATCTCAAGGAGCACACACCCCAATGTAATGTTGCTATTTAAACATTTAACTTAAAGCAAACAGAAGCAAACAGCTTTGCTCAGGAAGAGGGAATTTCCACTGACGTCTCATGGTGGGATTCCTGTAAAGTGCTTCTCTTCCTTATTATTCCTGTTATCTTTGTTTAGCTTTGCAGGAGGTGCTCGGAAGATGGAAGACAGCCACAGTTTCTCTTTGGGAGGGTCCCTGCAGCCCTACTTAAGTGAAAACACTTTTCTTGTGCACATTCTTCAGCTTCTTTACTAAATTTCAAAGTTTTGGGGCAAAAGGAAGGAAAGAGACAGCTGAAAATAACCTCTGCCAAAAAGACTATTGAGATTTTTCCAAGCCTTTTCACTTCTCCTTTCTACTAGAAAAGCTGAAATAACTCTTAGCTACTTGATATTCAAAATTAGTAGGTTCCAGCAAGAGATTTCAAAGCATTTTTGGCACACAGCAGTGAACAGAAACATTTTCTCCCAGGCTGAAAGAGAGAGGAGGTGGGATACCACTTTCTAGGCTTGAGACCACACCACCACTTGGGAAACCCTGTTCCAAATTTGAAATTCTTTTCCCTGTCAATGAAGCCATTTACACATGATGGAAAAAGGTTTCCATCAGATTACATCTGCAAACTAATGTGGAAGCACCACTTGATGTAACAGCAACAAGCTGTAGGAGGAAGGTCACATTTCAAAGAGCTGCCAGTACACCAGCAGAAGGCTCAGTATGCATATGCCCATGCATATGGGCAACAACTCCGTTGCGAAAAGTATAGTGTCGGGCTCTTTCTAAAACACCTTGGCAGGGCACTCTTTTCTCCTGCTTCATTATTACTTCATGTTAATTGTAGTTAATTGTTTCACCATTACCCTATGCTAATTGTAGTTCAGGCTGAGCACAGCAGCTGGAAGTTTTTACACCCAAAAAAGCAAATTAAAGGACTATGTTAAGAGTAAACAGAACCAATAATCCAAGAGTGATAAATGAAACAAAAGCAGAAAGGGAGATGAACCAGTTCCCGCTGTATTCACCCAGAAACTACAAATACATCATTAAATTAAGTGCCAGGAAATTTTGGGGCTCATCTGGCCAGCACCATACCTCCTTTGTTTAAAATTAATTTTCTTATTTAATCAAAGTTAGTGTTTATCCCACTGTAATGGTTTCCTGGCCAATTTCATGGATCACCTCCCAAATCCATTACTGAGGGTGACTACATATGCGCATGTCCAGACCATGAACCTCCAGAAGCTTCTTCCTGAAGCCCCTCCAGGAAGCCTTTACCCAAGACTATTAAAAATACTTTCCCAGGGACCTCTTCCTTAGCAGTGGTCTTGCACAGGAAACTGAGGGACCAGGATCACCTCCAGTGACTGTAGATCTAGTAGGCTTATTTCTAAGTTGTTTTGGTCCACTCCTTTATCACATGAACTAAAACACAGAGCTTGAAATAGGGTAGCTGCAGTTTACAACTTGAAGGGTTGTCAGTGGGACAGAGACACCCCTGATGAGCAGCTGCCAGCTAAACTCAACTTACACAAGCACTGACTAAATATAGCGCTAACTTATTTGAAGTATGATATCCCCAGTCCTTTTCATACCCCCACAGAGCCTTACCATGGCTCCTGCCTGACTGCTTACTCAATAGAAGAAAGAGAAAGTTCTATTTCCATTCTTTCTCTTGCTCTTTCCAGAGAAGACTTGCCAAATAGCCCAAGGTGCTTGCTGGGGGGCACTGCCATTGCCTGTCCCTCCTATACATCTTCAAAGCATCTGGGTTCAAACCAGTCACCTGTAGAGACAAGCCATTATCTGAGTATCTGATTTGATCTACATGGAATTCCCTGAAAAATGAGACACCCTCTTGATGAAGTTTTGGAATCTTAAGGATGTCCAAGCACTTATCTTTTTTTTTTCCTGAAATTTTATTATTGCTGTTATTTAGATATAGTTTAACATTCTGGCTTCGCATGCAAATTCAGTGAAAAAAAGTTACCTCTTTTTTTCCACTTACAATGATTCATACAGTTATGGTTCAAGGCAAGAAGTCCTCCAAGGTTTTTTCGAGTGAAAAATGTCATTAAAACTTTTATATAATCAGTTTTTATAAAGGCCCTGTTTTAGATAAACCATCTAAAACAGTAAAAAGGTATCATCAATCAATAGCATGCAAAAACTACAGCACATGAGAAACATGCCTCCACAGAGATACTTCTTTGGAACTTGCCTATAAATGAAAATGGTATGCAAGGGAAATCATTCTGATCCCCCTGGTAAACTACAGGCGTTGTCCTGATCTTCTCGCACACACAAAATTTGCCATGCCCAGCACGCACGCAGCATGTACCAAGAAGGGCTGTGAATACCCTACATTATGTTGTCTCCCTTCACCTCTTACCACAACAACAATCGATTTCCGGAGTTTAATTTTCCTAATCATTTGGAAGCTAAGGAAAAAAGGAAGAAAAAAAAAAACTATCATAAAAGTACATCCATGTGTAGTACCAGTCAGCAGAACTATACAAACTGCAAATCACACTTGCACAGCACCAGAATGCATGTGCTGAAATTGGGCTAATTCTTGCAGATGAATTACTGCACCCTAGGGTGAAGATGCAGGCAAGAGGCAGTGTGCCAAGCCAAGCATTTTAAAACTAAAGCAGAAAAGGCTAATGTTCAAATTAAATATTACTGAACTCATAATAACTTTCTTATTATCATGTAAAATCAAAAACATCCAGGGGTGGCCATGACAGAAAATCATGAGGGGAGAGGAGGGGCAGCCATGAGGAGTAAGGGGAAATCATGACAGGTAGAAAAGGAGTGGCCGTGAGAGGAGATCATGAGGGGTGAGGGGAGACAGAATCATAGAATAGTTAGGGTTGGAAAAGACCCTAAGATCATCTAGTTCCAACTCCCCTGCCATGGGCAGGGATGCCTCGCACCAAACCATGTCACCCAAGACTCTGTCCAACCTGGCCTTGAACACTGTCATGGATGGAACATTCACAACCTTCCTGGGCAACCTCACCACCCTCACAGTAAAGAACTTGCTCCTTGTATCCAATCTAAACTTCCCCTGTTTAAGTTTCAGCCTGTTACCCCTTGTCCTTTCACTACATTCCCTAATGAAGAGTCCATTCCCAGCACCCTTGTAGGCCCCCTTCAGATACTGGAAGGCTGCTGTGAGGTCTCCACGCAGCCTTCTCTTCTCCAGGCGGAACAGCCTCAACTTTCTCAGCCTGTCTTCATACAGGAGGTGCTCCAGTCCCCTGATCATCCTCATGGCCCTCCTCTGGACTTGTTCCAACAGTTCCACATCCTTTTTATGTTGAGGACACCAGAACTGCACACAAAACTCCAAGTGGGGTCTCACAAGAGCAGAGTAGAGGGGCAGGATCACCTCCTTCGACCTGCTGGTCATGCTCCTTTTGATGCAGCCCAGGATATGGTTGGCTTTCTGGGCTGCAAGCGCACACTGAAGCCAGCTCATGTTGTTTCTCATCAACCAACACCTACAAGTCCTTTTCCACAGGGCTGCTCTGAATCTCTTCTCTGCCCAGCCCGTAGCTGTGCCAGGGATTACCCTGACCCAGGTGTAGGACCTTGCACTTGGCATGGTTAGACTTCACAAGGCTGACATCAGCCCACCTTACAAGCATGCCGGGGTCCCTCTGGATGGCATTCCTTCCCTCCAGCGTATGAAGCGAACCACACAGCTTGGTGTCATCGGCAAACTTGCTGAGGGCACATTCAAATCCCACTGTCCATGTCAGCAACGAAGATGTTAAACAAGACCGGTCCCAACACCGATCCCTGAGGGACACCACTTGCTACTGGTCTCCAACTGGACATTCAGCTATTAATCACAACTCTTTGTGTGTGGCCATTCAGCCAGTTCTTTATCCACAGAGGGGTTCACTAATCAAATTGATGTCTCCCCAGTTTAGAGAAGGATGCTGTGCAGGACAGTGTTGAATGCTTTACACAAGTCCAGGTAGATGTCATCAACTGCTCTGCCCCTGTCCATCTGTTCCACAGCTCCATCATAGAAGGCCACCAAATTGGTCAGGCAGGATTTCCCCTTAGTGAAGCCATGCTGGCTGTCACCAAGCACCTTGTTGTTTTTCGTGTGCCTTAGCATGCCTTCCAGGAGAATCTGCTCCAAGATTCTGGCAGGTACGGAGGTGAGACTGACTGGTCTGTAGTTCTCTGGGTCATCCATTTTC